AACCAATCTGAGCAAGAATGACTATAAGACACACTTGTTGAAGATAAGTGCTCTTCCCACTCCTGGATGAACAATAGGTAATTCAAGATAGTGCTCTTTGACTATGTTCTTTATGAATAATCCATCATAAGGTTAAAAATTATCAAGACTATGCCCAGATAAAGGACTTTCTGCAGAAGAAATAATAACAAAGAGAGCAAAGAACTGAAGCATGCAGACCCTTGACAGCATATCCGAAAGAAATGCCAATGACTGAAAGAAGCTTCTCACTGACTTGAACTACGAGATTAATCAAGGAATAAGTCTGCTTGTCACTGGTTAGTGCATAAAATCATCTTTCATTCTTTCTTCTCTTACCTCTTTCTTAGTTACAACATCAACCCTTGACTAGAAAGGGTAATAGCTTGTAAGATTTCACTTGAAGTATAAAGTACTGTCTAGGGTAATTAAATATGTATATTTAAATGGTAATTCATTGAGGTAATCGATATTCTTTGACACTAATTGACAATCTTATCACCCAAGGGTTGGAATTGTTCTGTTGTCATAATTGTGACTTAGACAGCATGCAAGAGGATATCATATACATAAACCAATACACAGAAAATTGAATCATTTGACTCCATGGCAGGATCAAATTCCATTAGGAGCGTATCTTATCTTACATGTTTGGTCCCATTACAATCACCATATTTGATGCTTCTGAAATAAAGATATTGTTGGGCTGCAACCAAACAATGATAAACTATTAAGCTTACTTACAAACTAAAATTTCATATAAACCTATTGTCACAAATATAAATAATGTATATACTCTAGCACAAGAAAACAGCCTACCACAAAGTCATTGTGTATGCTTTCTAGGATGGGGTGTCTTCCAGCATCAATTGCCAGTGGACCATCATCTGTCAACAATGCATCACTTTAAATCACACCTCCATTCAGATTGGCAAGATCAAAAAATAACTTACTTGTGAACTGTGATCTAGTATATTGATCAACAGGCTTGGTTGATATCATATGAGCAAATGAATTAACAATCATATCTAAGAGACATAAGACTTCTGCAAGCAATGTGAGCACAGAGATGTCCTCTCGAATGGCATCAACTAGTGCTGCAAATCACATAGAAGTAGTATGAGTACTGAATGATGTTATGCAACACTTGAATATTATCATCCACAAACAGGTATTTTACCCGGCAGTTTCAAATGTAAAATTGCCAATTAAAAAACAATAATGACCAATGGGAAGGGTAGATCTACATAATAAGTAGAAGTATTTCAATAGCAACATTTTCTTGAGTACAAGAATGTGATAATGAAACACCATCACAAGGTTTGAGAAGTCAGGGCATAACTTCTTTAGCATCACCTTAGGTCACAAATGACCATCAGGTCAGTACTTCAGCTTAATTGGAGATCCAATTTAAGCTAGCCAAGTTTCTTGTTTTACTTAATTTAAATCAGATCCATTAATGAAGTAAAGTTTCAAGCATAAAGAGTTTCACTTAATATAATGATTAATGAAAAACCCAACTTTGTGAGATCAATGCTCAATACCTAAAAAACAAAAAAATCATCATAACACTCCATTAAGATATTGATAAATATTCTTGTTATATCAAATATTCCTTGCACTTATTAAGAAGTCTGTAACAACCTTCCAAGCAAACTTCTGTTCGAATATAGCACTCTCCAGCTGCGGATTTATTTCTGACGTTCAGCTGCAAATTTCATGAAATTGATGAAGATGGAAGAAAAGAAATTCAAGAGCCAGAAAAGCTAATTGAACTTGTAACTAATATAAATTTGTAGAATACTGATAGCAACAACATAAAATATGTTAATCCCAAAGGAGCAAATACCAACTTGACAAACCAGGTTTCAAAGTGCACGGAATTGCCTTCATAATATCATAAATCCTTAAACCAAATGACCTATCTAGAACAAATATTAATAGTATAACTAATGGGTTGAGCATATTTCAGATTAGATCACAAACAAATATTAATAGCATAACTATGGCATCTGTCTAATGATAATAAAATACTCACAGAAGCAAGCTCCAAGGTAGAGCAATGTACATTATTGCCACGTTTCACAACCTGTGTTTTTCCCGTAAACAAATAGAAGTCAGAAAAAATTACCAATGGAATTTTTTTACATATGATACAGTAGAGCAAAGTTGTTATGATAACCTGAACAAATTTGCTAGGAAGCTTTCCCTGAATGTCTTTATGTGGAATGCTAAAGTAAAAGCCTTGCCTATTGTTAAAAGGGAGTTTAAGATTTGGAAGCCTGAACTCTTCACGGTACTTGTTCGCAAGGTTATGGATAGCTGTCAATTTGAAGTATTTTTCACTTTTCAGGCTTGAAACACATCACTTTATAAAGGGGTAACAAAGATGAAAGAAGACAAGGGACAATAAGCAGTGAACCAAGAAGGTAATGGGGAAAAATAAAAAAATTAAACATTGAAACAATTAGGAAAACCTTCACTGGTATCACAAAATGATCTCCTAGCAATATCCAATAGTCCATCAATTCCAGCCTTGACAGCAAAACACTGTTGTGTGCGTGCAACAAAGGGAACACGTGCATGAAGAACATCTTCATCTATTACTTCACCAATTCTAAAACAAAGAAAGCTTCATAAGAAAGTGGTCCAAATTTTAAGATACTGGACTTTTGTCAACTATTTAAGTTGAAGTTTTACTGGACAACTATAAACCTAGCAATTTTACAATGCTTTAAAAACAATTTCATGTTCATAAGATAGCTGAAATGAAAGTATACGTAGAAATAGAAATCATGAAGTGAATAAAATCTTCTGTGGAATAAGATGTACCAATATACCATTATCACATCTTGAGATATTCCTCAGTTTCAACAAATGAAGAAAAAGATATTTAACCCACAACTCAACAGCTGAGAGAAGAATATACAACATACCTCTTTCTAATGTCAGCATATTTCTCATTTTCACATACAGACTTGTAAACATTTGCCAGAAGAAAGCTTTTTGCATCCTTCAGGACCTATTGTCTTTAAAGATCAAAACTAATGCAAAAAAAGAATGTTCTGGTATAAATCATGATATGAAACAGAAAGGGTTAACCTTGGAGAGTAAGGGCAAAGCATCCAAAGCAGTTTTGAGTAGGATAATGCTTGATATCAATACTTGGCTCTTTCTAGCATTATCAATGCCACAGACATCATTGGTTACTCTCTTTGGCTTGAAGCAGAAATGGCAAAGAACTCTATCTGTATTAAGAGCAGGAAAAAATTTTCTTCTAGTTACTGTGACCTATATGGGAGTTATATAAATAAGGCAATTTTTTTTTTCCATTTTTATTCTGCTTACCTGTCTCCTTTGGGAACTTACGCAAGACTTGAGAGAGTCCAAAGAAAAGCTGTTCATTGCTCATAAGTTCATCCTGACAACAAGTACAGAAGAGATATTGTCTTTTGTGCTCTGAATTGGCCTGTTTTTAAGCTGTGCCTTAATGAATTAATTAGGAACTGGGGCAACAAATTAAAGTTGAATAGGTGATCACATGACTATTTATTCCCATATACTACTTATGTGTAAACTAAGACATAAACAGTAATCTATTGAGAATGCATCTTAACAGCAGCATATCACGTAGACGCAGAAAAAGCAAGTATATTCTAACAGCAAATCCAGAATGTAATTGAAATGATTTAGGAAATAGAACGGGAAACAAGAGTAAAATATGATCAAAGTAACGAGCAAGACTAACCAGGCAATCCAAGCGAGTATTGATAGTTTCAATATCTTTCAAAGGCTGCAACAGATTGGCACGAAGAAGTCTAGTCCTGGAGAAGAAAGTCCACGCTTTTAGGAAACAGGAGAAAGGAATAGAAGGTGCAGTTCAAATATCATGTTCCAAGTTGAATATAGAGTTTTATATGGTCCAAGCATGGGTTCAAGGATGGTTTAAATTAATGAAAGAATAGTGAACAAACAAAATGGAAAAGAAGTTAGTAAGCTGTTCATGCGAAAAACATGTTTCACCAGCCAACTTATTTGAGTTTTCAGATACCCCCCAACAGTTTTTGTTGTCTTGAGCATCTGAAAAAGGCTTTTCTTTTTGGTGCTTGTGCCCCAAAGTGCAGAATCAAGAGGTTCAATAAGTTCCAAGTTCTGGACACTGCCAATCAACAGTCAACAATAAAATTAATTAACAAATAAGCAATAAAGGCTCTCAAGCTTTAAGTTAAAGGTCTACTAGATATTTTCAATGACAGAGTCATTTTTTTTCCTGTATAAATGAAAACACGTCTTTAAATCCTGATATTATTTGATAGTTACAAGTAGAGCAAAAGGGAGAGAAGGAGGAGGATTACCTAGTAGTGTCGATGTTCATGTGATCAAAGGATCCATTAAAAGTAACCTGGGGAAGTCGTAAGAATAGCAAAGAAAGCTATAAGTTAGAATCAATCAGAAACCAGGAGAATGTCAAACAAGTCATGGTGACTCTTACAGTTGTCATGTGTATTTTTTTAATAGGTTATTTTCACAGAATAAAAACTTTTAAGTTTTTTTGTCAGTTATTGCAATTGCAAATGTTAGCACATACCAACAATGAGTGGTTTGTAACAATGACCCCTTTTTCTGCTTCTATCCTATACATAGTAGAAACTACAATATCAGAAACATAAATATAAAGGAATAGTAGCGGGCCATAAAAAATGAAGACTTCTACTGCTCCTAGGCTGGAGATGGAGGAAATCATCCTAGTGCAACAATCAAAACAGAAACTCTAATATACATCCTCCAACTCACCCAAAGAACTATATTCAGAAATAAAATTATATTTTCCTCTCAAACATAAAGACAGCCCAAATTTCTGAAAGTACCACTTTATAGTAGCTGAAGCAGCAGCCAAGCAGAGATAATACTGCTTGTAATAAGTATCCAAACCAAGGGCCGAAGGCTCCCTCGCTGCTAAATTCTTAATCAGCATAGCTCCCTGAGCATTTGACCACAATGGAATTCCAAAAATAAGACATATAGATCTCAACTCCAATCTTAGAACGAGTGAAACGAAGGATCTACTAGAACAACCTTGGTGTCATCAAAGCAACCACGAGCCATTATAACCTGCAAAAATGAAAAACTTGCAGATTGCATTAACATTTCCAAATCTTGCACAGATATAAGGATCGTGAATATCAAGTTAAATTCACCTTCTTAACAGGAGCATAAAATCTGTCCACCAGTTCTGATACTCCCACCATACCATCAGGCGCGAGTTTGTTTGGAGGGACAATGATCACCATGGGATCGTAAAAGTGAAGCAAAGTTTTCGTGTTCTGATATGAGCTACTGGTTTCAATATACTGAGAAAGATGCAGTGAGGCTGACCTTAAGTCAAAGGCAGCCACTCCAACCTACAGAAACCATTGCTCTCCGTCAGGAATTTTCGACTCCATCACAAGATATTGCAGAAATCTCAAACAGATCAACACTATAAACACATTATTACACAATTGATAGAAATAGAAGCATGAATCATCTGTTTTCTTGAATCGATAACAAAAGAAACAGTTATTTAGATTTTTTTTTTCGAAAATTTCAAATTCCGATTGGAAATAAATGGACACTAGAATTTTCCTTCTACTTTCGCGCATTTTCTCGGGAACCAAACAGATGTACCTCTTTAGCTCTGTTCTCGATGAGACCGATCACGAAGCTTGACCCTTCGCCTCCTCCGTCTTCCATTTCGCGCCTCTGACCAAAGTTTACAGAAGCTGGAGCAGTATCGTCCCCTTAAATTTATACAAAACGCAGTGCGTGCCGCTAAGTTGCGCGCCGTGTGCCTTTTTTTTTTTTTCAAACTAGTCTACAGGTTTTTAAATATGCGCAAGCAGGACATGATTTTTCGCTAGATGTATAATTAAGTCCTTCTTTAACGGCAGTCGTTAAGATCCCTTCTCTTACAGGCTTCTAAGTTCTAGTTCAAGGGAAGAACTTTAGGCATTTGATAGCCCTATACGGCACCGTGTTATGGTTTATCTTGTTTTTTGCCTATTATTATACTAAAAATATAAGAAACATTTATTAAAAATAATTAAAAATAATAAATTTACCATATCAATAAGTTACTATGTAAATATATATATATATATAAATGTGTGCAGTATGATTAAATAAAATCTTATATTGAATCAAACTTTGAATCAAGTGATTTATCCTCAAGTTTTAAGTGTTTAAACGTTTTAAGTGTTTAA